GGAATTTATCATGGTCAGCCCACTCTCTGAAGCTTATTTGCACACTTGCAGATAAGCTCTCTGCTTTTCTATCTCCAATCCTTCTTAGGTTGATGCTCATAAAATGCATCTATGAACTTAATTAGCTCCAATTTCCATTAGCAATGTCTTTTCCTGCTTCCTAACTATGTTCACTTTTCATATAAGGTTTCAATGTTTTGGATTCTTGGAATATTTTACATGTAAGTGACAAAATGAAGCTGTGTGTAACTAAAGTATTCTCATAACTGGTTTTTAGTACCGGTAATCAGAAGGAATGTTCTTGATCAGCATTTAAGGGGTCTCTTTAAATAAACAAAGTTCAGCTTTCTAAGAATGTAAAGCTGCTGGCCAGCACCAGTTCCTTTCTAATTTAAAGCAAAATCAAAGAGTATACAATCTCCAAGTGTAGACAGTCTTGGAGACCGTAGATAGAACCAATTTGCTAAGCCCCCTTGGAGAACTGGGTGCTGCTTACAATGGTGAGAAATTGACCATGGTCAGCCCACTCTCTGAAGCTTATTTGCACACTTGCAGATAAGCTCTCTGCTTTTCTGTCTCCAATCCTTCTTAGGTTGATGCTCATAAAATGCATCTATGAACTTAATTAGCTCCAATTTCCATTAGCAATGTCTTTTCCTGCTTCCTAACTATGTTCACTTTTCATATGCTCTCCAGATTGAAAAAAAAAAAAAAATTAACTGTAGGAAATAGATCCACGAGTTACCATAAAGTGTTCTGAGGAGATTTTTGATCTGTCTCACTTGTATGTCAGTGTTCTTTTTTAATTTCTTCATAGACCTGAGCACATGCCCATTCATTAGATTTCATGGCTGACTAAGAGAACTGGATTTTATTCTGGTTCAGGTGCGGTCTTGTTGATTTAGATCCATTATACCTTAACTAATTACACCTATCAGAGAGGCAGGTTTGATCACTGATGACCTAATAGCCAAACAACTCCTGGAGGTGTACCTAGGAGTTACTACACCTTGCAGAGTTATTTCATTTTTCAGTTACTTCATATCTTACATTGTTACAGTGATCTACCTCACAGGATGACTGTGGGAGTAAAGAGTGTTAAAATTATTACAAAGCATTCTTATTTCCCAGATGTCATAATAGTTAAAACCCAAAACATCAAGTTCTCCAGATTTTTTTTTGTAAGAGTTTTCCATACGAATATTTGTGCACAGTATTTTCACCTGACTGTATAGGGTGAAAGTCCTTTCTGATGTCTAACTTAAATTCTTCTTCAGTAGTCAGCCTTGCTGTCTGTAGGGGCTCTCACCATCACTAAGACTAGATCTTTCAGCAGATGGAAGCTAACTGTGACTCTCTCCAAAGTTTACCCAATAATAAGTAACATTCAGGTAAGAAAGAGGTCCTTTAAAAGAAACAATGTTTGATATTTTATTTATTAATAGCACCTCACCTTTCAGAGTGTAAACCATATATTGACTTTGAGTTTCTATGAATTGCCTTCAGTGAGCAGTAAACTCACAAGGAAGCAAATGGAAAGATTTGAAGTTCTGAGATGAGAAAGTAGAGCAAAACCAATTCAGGGGGGAAAAACAGTCTCTGCTACCTGGATTTGAATTACCTGGCAGCTTGCATTCTAATTGTGGAAACCAGGGGAAGGTGTATGAGTCCTCCGATGTATTTATTAGGTAGATGGATGTGTTTGTTAGGTTAATCTGCTGTAGCAAAGAGACTTAAAAATGCATCCCCCTAAAGAATCTGTAAGCTTATTTCTAGCACATCTAATCATTCCTGAGTGAATAATCAGGTTTGCTGGGCAGTTCTGTTGCTGAACAATCACTTAAGGATCCAATATCACATTGAAATCCCACATGTAACCCCATAAGAGTGTCTGCAAAAACCCATTCTTCATTCTTCTGGGGCATGTGGCTGCCCACTTATGCTTTGCCCCCTACTTTGTGACATGAAGTGGCAAGGGATTTCAGAGTGCATCTTGAAAACATAAACTGTGAGGCAAAATGTGATGAATTTGATTTGTTGTTTAGTCGTTCAGTCATGTCCAACTCTTTTGTGACCCCATGGACTGTAGCCCACCAGGCTCCTCTGTCCGTGGGATTCTCCAGGCAAGAATCCTGCAGTGGGTTGCCATTTCCTCCTCCAGGAGGTCTTCCTGACCCAGGGCTGAAACCCACCTCTCCTGCATTGGCAGGCAGATTCTTTACCACTGAACCACCTGGGAATCCCGGTCAACTTAGTTAACAAAAAAGAAACAGATGCGTTTGTCATATTAAACATGGATACAATGGTACTCCTTGAAATTATACATTTGATAACTGATATTTAGGGACAGAATTAGGTAATGGGAGGAATTCTTGGGGAGACAGAATTGAGAATCTCCCCTGGTTCAACCTCTCCTTAAAGTGGTATCATTACCTCGAAGTGATACTATTCATTGAAAGGTTCATTTGTGTCCTATTCTCCTTGGATTCTAACCTTCTCTTTTGATTCTGGAAGATGGCTGTGGCCTTATATTCTTATATTTCGAGACCCAAAGCACAGGTTTCTTAGACTCGACTCCTCTAATACCACTACCTTCCTGGCATATGCTCTTAAAAGCCTAAAGTATCTTCCTGGGGAGGGAGGAGAGGAGTGAATGCCTTTGTGGAAGTAAGTGGTAGAAGCTGTGCTAATAGGGTGAGGAGAAGGCTTCTCCCAAGCCTGGAAACTGGATGGGGTGCAGTAATGATGACCGGAACCTCCATCCTTTCCAGCATCACGAGGGGGTGACCAGGCTTTCAAAGGGTTGGAACAGCAACACTGGGTGGGCACCCTACATGGGGGCTCCCATACCCAGCCAGCACCCTCTGCTGGTTTGGCTGAGAAGGATCAGAGTGATCCGTCTTCAAAATGCTTGGACAAAAGCCAGACCACCAATGCAACTCTTGGACTAAAGACAGAAGGTCCTTTCTCAGATGTTGGTTGGGGAGACAGAAGTCTATTTAGACTGAGACTAAATTACCTGCCTTCCAGATAGGGTCAAGGTCAGAGTAAAACTGACTTTGGAAAAACAAAAGATTAGAATAGTATCTAATGCACTCAAGGTTGTGGAGTCAAATTGGTGTCTGCTTCTTCATCGTTATACAGATGATCACACTAGGCTTTGAGCTTAGTGATTTAATGATTTCTCCAAGGTCAGGTGATGGCAGAGCCTGTTGGTTTTTCCTGTCTCATGCTCCCTTATTGTATCTGCTTAAGGCTAAGGGAAAACAGATCCAATCACAAAGCCATTTAATAGTAATAGTGATACCAACAATACCACTGTGCTGGGAGTTTACATTTATCATTTAATGTAATTCTCATAACCCTAGGATATCATTATGATCCCACCTTACAGAAAAGGGAATCTTGGGGACTTTAACTAGCTTATAGGCTATACATCTTAGAAAGGTTGGACCAGGGTTTAAACCGGGCAGTCTGATTCCAGGGCCTGCCCACCTAACCCCCACAATATTCCTGCAGCCGACCCACAAAATTGGGCTTCCAGGAAAGAGGGCAAAAGACTTACCATCTGTTTTCTATTCAACCAACCTGATTTATTTTAGGCTCAAGGCATTCAGAGTGCATTAATATGAAATCCTGTGTTAGTCGTCTGTTTCAATTAGGGGGAAAGGGGAGCCTTGTATCAATGATGTCCTTTATTTTTAATGTAGAATTCTTTTAGCCTCGCAGTGAACTGTGCCCAGACCCCAGTTCTGCCATTTCACTCTTTCCCTCCAGAAAGTTTTCCAGCCGAGTGGGGATTTAAGCAACTGCAAGCCTCCAAGAGAGTCACACAGCTGAGGCGCTCTGAAAATAGAACCATATTATTTTATTGTAGGTTTGGCAAATGCTCTCAGAGTCAATGTATTCCTTGTCTGGTTTCCAGCAGCAGTGCTTTTTGCCAGTGGGTCACCTAGGTGCCTCCAGTCCACCTTTGAGTAAGAAATAAAATTCTTCAAACAAACTGGCTTTGATTTTTCTCCTTCTCTCAGAAATCTAATTCCTCACGACCACATCACTGAGAAATTCCACATGGTTGTAATTAAGTCCACGTTTCCCGTGCTTGGCTGTCTCGTCTCTGATAAACAGCATGAATGGAGTATTCAGGTTCGAAACTCCCTGGACACACGGCCCAGTTTACTCCTGGCCTCTCATGTTGCTGCTCTTTTGGGTAAAGGAGGTGCTGTGAGCTGAATGTTTCTGTCCCCCCCCAATTCCTCTGTTGAGATCCTAGTCCCCCAGTGTGAAGGTGTTAAGAGGTGGGCCTTTGGGAGGTGATGGGGTCATGAGGGCGCCACCCTCACAAATGGAATTAGTGCCCTTATAAGAAAAGACCCCAGAGAGTTCTCTCCTTCTCTTTCGGCCAAGGAAGGACCCTGGAGAAAGCAGTCATCTGCAACTCGCAAGAAGGTCTTCACTGGAACCCAACCATGCTTGGCACCCTGACCCCAAAACTGTAAGAAATAAACCCACTCAGCCCAGACTCACACTTATGCAAAACACTATGAATATTTTATATTTCTAATTTTATGAGACAATAAAAATACATGTTAAGTAAGGGGAGCTAATTCCTTTCCATTGTGACCTGCATTTGTACCTTGCATTGCCCACGTGTTTTCTTAATCTAGAAAAGTGAAGTCTGGTGCCCTCTTGTGGCCCTTCATTTTGTTGTCCTACGAAATTTTTATTCCACTAAATCGCATCTATCATCTCTCTGGAGGAAGATGGCTTCCTTGAGCGAGAATCATTGCTTCTACTGCTAGCCGTGTCTCTCAACAACTTCAGATTGGAATATGCCACCCACCAAAGATGTAGTAATACTGGTTGGGACTTTTCTGTTAGTAGCCAAGGGCTCCAAAATCACTGCAGATGGTGACTGCAGCCATGAAATTAAAAGACGCTTGTTCTTTGGAAGAAAAGCTATGACCAACCTAGACAGCATATTAAAAAGCAGACATTACTTTGCCAGCAAAGGTCCATNCTTCTTTTGTGAATCTGGTTTCCTGCAAGTGATGGTTCATGACAATATCGACACCAGTGATTACTGTGCTTTCGGTACCTTCGCCCTCGGGGCCTTCAGCGGAGGCATTTCCACCAATGAGCGAGTCATCGATGTTACCCTCTGTCCTACTGACCATCTTCCCCTCCACCTCCAGACACAGCCCATCTGCGACCTCCCGGATCTTGTAGATGTCGGAGAACATCTCGTCATGGCTAATGAGGTCCCGGTAGATGATCATGATGGCGACTGGAGGGAGGCGACAGCGGTGCTGGCTTAGCAGGAGCCCGGGGCTCAGAGTGAGCGGCGCTCTGGGGGAGGGGGGAGCGGGCGGAAAAGTGGACATGAGTTTGAGTAGACTCCGAGAAATGCTGAAGGACGGGGAAGCCTGGTGTGCTGCAGTCTATGGGGTCGCAAAGAGTCAGACACGACTGAGCGACTGAACAGACATCAACAGCAGCTAGAGCAGATACTTTGAGGTCCTAGGGAGTTTCTTTAAAGAAAGAGAATGTACTTGTAGGGAGAGAGCAATTGGCTAGGTGGCAGTGGTCAGGCTCTCACCCCACTCCACTCACGTCCTATAGCTGGGATCATTTGTGGCATTGTGCACGTGCATCCTGGTGTGGTCCCATGTAAGCACCCCCAGAAAAACTCTTGTAGGAGGGTCAAGTCTTGTAGTCATCATTGTTAACCGTTAGAGAGTAAAGCATCTCTGTCTTACTATGGTAAATAAAGAATCTCTGCAGTTCCTACAGCTCCTCGAATCTTCTTCCAGCTTCCCCTGCTTTCGCCTGCCTGCCCTGGGTTCAGTGAATGGCGAGATACAGCGAGACACAGCAAGACAGTACTTAAATAATTCCAAAATACTGACAGGTCAAGTTCAGGTATCATACAAGGACCATCATGATCCAGCCCACGTCTTGCTTCCAGTCTGTCCCCATCCTCATGCCTCTCGACCCTCAGAAAACCAGTGGCTTATCTTGCAAGACCACTGGTGTCATTTCCTTGTTAAAACATTTTCTAGGTGAAAAAAAAGTGTCTATTTTTTCTTGGTGCTCCACCCCCTTCAACCTTCAGTAATGGCCAGCAACTGTTGTGCCACTATGCTGTGTTTCTCTGAATCCTTCATTAGGTGTTTTTGTCCTTACGTGCAGGCTTTATGTCTTGAGATGAGGCATCTGCTCACGCCCATTTATGCAGTGTTTAGCACAGAGATGCAATTAATGTTGGTTGAATTACTGTAAATTGAAGATCGAGGCAGAAAGTCCTAATGGAAGCAAAAAACAGGTAAAAACTAATAGTTGTCTCCGGTGTGGTGTGTGCAATTCAATTGTGTCCAACTCTTTGCAACCCTATGGACTGGCACTGACCAGGCTCCTCTGTCCATGGGAGTCTCCAGGCAAGGATACTGGAGGGGGTTGCCATTCCCTTCTCCAGGGGATCTTCCTGACGCNGGTGTGTGCAATTCAATTGTGTCCAACTCTTTGCAACCCTATGGACTGGCACTGACCAGGCTCCTCTGTCCATGGGAGTCTCAGGCAAGGATACTGGAGGGGGTTGCCATTCCCTTCTCCAGGGGATCTTCCTGACGCAGAGATCAAACCCGTGTCTCGGGTCTTCAGCATTGGCAGGCTGTTTCTTCACCACGGTGCCACCTGGGCTTCTGTGTTTGCCTCCAAGGGCCCCCAAACGCCCTTCCCTTTTGACCTCGCTAACCCAGCTGTTTGGTACAGAGACTCTAAAGGCAGCATCACTTACATGTTGCCAGCGGATCCCCTTGGCCTCACAAGGGAGGAAAATGTCCATTTTCCATCGCCTCTCTCTGCACTTTGGAGAGCACTGAGTCAAGCCAAACCCTTGAGGCAATTAAAGGTTAAAGAGAGCTAGTAAGCACTGCGTTTTTCCTGTAATACTAATATGTGAGGAGGGCAGTGCTTGAAGCACTAGTAAAGAACACAGGCTCAGAGGTTATGCTTGACCTAAGTCACGTGGCTTTTGAGTGATGGAGCCAGGACCACAGCGTGGGCCCCCGATGCCCAATTCCCCACTCCATTCATTGTGTCGTGTAGGACCTCCTCCTGGCAGCGTGGCTCTACCACTGACCTGGACGTTTCGACTGTCTGTGTACCACAGACACACAATAGCTCGGTAAACATTAAGATACTGTTAAATACCACAGGCATCTCGCACTGGCCAGGCAGCCCCACCCCCAACTAAAGTAAATGAAACAGCCCCACCCAAGGAAAACCACATTCCCAGAGAATCAGCAGGATATCAGGAATATGATGGAGGAATCTAGGCTCCCCGGGCCTGCATTTAGATCTGTGCTTTGCCGTTTACCTGTTTGTGGGCCTTGGCAATTGATTCTTCTCTGCCTTCACTTCTTCATACATAAAATAAGTTAAAAACTGTGTGTGTGGAGACAGTTCAGTGAGTTCTGGTATGTAGTCAAGTATTTGATCAATTTTAGCTATTATTGCTATTATTTAAAGAGTTATTTCGGTTTTCCAGACTGTCCACATTGCTGAAATTCACCACACAATTTAAAATGTTTCTTTGTATTGGCTATAGTCTTTGATGGGTGATTTCTTGAAAGGAAAGCATATTTGAGCACACGGGCGCGTGCGCATACACACACACAGAGTTATTTTACCTACTGTGCTATGTACAGCAGCAGAACCACCTGGTCCCTCTCTTCCTCTGTCTCTCTCTTTTGATTTCAGAGTTAAAAAACAGTTTCAATACCATCATTCCATGTAGGGTAAGCCCTTCTGTACTCTTCCGCCAGTCCTGTTTCTAAGGTTCAGGAGCTTAAGGTAAGCCACTCTTTAAAGAACTGGCTAAGGCTCCTGTCAATACAGAAAAAGGAAGCCTTGCCTATTTGCTTCTCAGAGGCAGCTGTTCTCTATTCAGACTCACCCCCAAAGGGAAGTTGGGTCTTCAGGCATTATTTGATTATTTTTATTTCCCTGCAAATAAAATCCCTCCATCCCTCTGACCTGTCTTCTCCTTTAATACCGATTCATGATACAAATGCCCTTTGATGAATCAGAGAACTAATAGTGCCTTCCGGCCAGCATTAAATTCAAACCACATGTAGTGACTTATTAAATAAGCATTTGTCATAACACATCCGGGTAACTATTGGGCAAATGAGAAGGTTGGCAGCAGATCTCTTGATAGTTATTCCATTGTCTGCTAATGCAGGGCGGCTTTTGAAAGCATGGCCTTTTGCCCCTTCTTGAAACCCTCGATGCAAGGAGCTGCAGGATGGATGAAGACTGAAAAAGCTGTTTTTCTCTTCTTGGGTGGGTGAAGAGGAGGGTTTGGAGGTCCAGCCACGGCTGTGTCTGAGCTGCCTCTAATGAGGATGAAGCCCAGCCAGGCCCCATGCTCTGCACCAGATTTGCTGGAGCGATGGGTGAAAACCCAGAAAGTTCATCCAGGCAAGTGGGCCACAACTCCTGCCATCTGCAGCTCTGAGATGCATGTCGGAAGGCCGTTGGATTAATTGGGAGCCCGTTCTTGATTCTTAGTAACTTGTTTCGTTGTTGTTCAGTTGCTACGTCATGTCCCACTCTTTGCGACTCCATGAACTGCAGCATGCCAGGCTCCTCTGTCCTTCACTGTCTCCCAGAGCTTGCTCAAATTCATGTCCATTGAGTCGGTGAGGCTATCTAACCATCTTGTCCTCTGCCACCCTCTTCTCCTTTTGCTTTCAATCTTTCCCAGCATCAGGGTCTTTTCTTCGCATCAGGTGGCCAAAGTATTGGAGCTTCAGCTTCTGCATCAGTCCTTCCAATGAAATATTCAGGGTTGATTTCCTTTAGGATTGACTGGTTTGATCTCCTTGCAGTCCACGGAACTCTCAAAGTATCTTCTCCAGCACGACAGTTTAAAAGCATCAATTCTTTGGCACTCAACCTTCTTTATAGACAAGTTCTCACATCTGTACATGACTACGGGAAAAACCATAGCTTTGACTATATGGACCTTTGTTGACAAAGGGATGCCTCTGCTTTTTAATATCCTGTCTAAGTTTGTCATAGCTTTCCTTCCAAGGAGCAAGCGTCTTTTAATTTCATTGGTACAGTCATTGTCTACAGTGATTATGGAGCCCAAGAAAAGAAAATCTGTCACTGCTTCCGCGTTTTACTCTTCTGTTTGTCATGAAGTGATGGGACCAGATGCCGTGATCTTAGCTTTTTTAAAAATTTAATGTAAAAAAAAAATTTTTAATGTAGTCATTTACACATGATGAAAAATACCAAGTATCGCCTAAACACACTCACCCACATCCTCCTTGCTGATGTACAGCAGCCAGAAAATACAGAAGTGTTTATTGAGTCATTTGGATTTGCAGATTGATTGGCACTTTCACTGCTTTTCTGTGATTATTGTGGCTGCTCAAGATGATGGCAGAAAAATAGGCCTATATGTTGAAAGTCAGCAGGTCAGACCTTAGTCTCATCTCTACAGCTACTGCTGTGGCCTCTTCCTGCATGTGTGGTGTGGCAGGAAGCGATCAGGGGAGCCTGGAAAGGGAAGCATTTGGAAGAGGATAACATTGTCAGATTCCCCAAGTACTCTGGATAAGTCAGTATAGGACCAGTAAGTGTGTGGGGCTTTTAGAAACAACTTTATTGAAGTACTGACAAAGAGTAAGACATACATATTTAAAGCACATCGTTTAAAAGTTTTCCTGTATTTATCAAAATTCTGGTGGTACAGTGCTGTCAGTCCTAATTTCATTTATTATTCAACTTTTACATTATGTACATCTGTCATCTTCCAGGCCAGTGATTTTCAAATGGGGTTTTATAAAAATATCGATATCTAAACTTGATCCCTTTCTTACTGAATCTCTTTTCTTGCTATTCTTGGTATAATTCCTGACACATTAGGTCTCAGGATTATTATGTTATATCTCAAGACTTTTTTCATCTATTAAGAGTTATACTCATTCATATTTATAAAACAGATGAAAGAATAAACTTACTCATCATCTGTAGAAATATTCTTGTTTAGAAACCATTTTGGAATACATGCATAGCTCATTATTGTATATCACAGATATTGTGGTTTTTTTATAAATTAATGACTTGTGGTAATTGATGATTTGTGTTGTCAGATAATAGTTAGCATTTTTAGTAATAAAATATTTTCAATTAAGAAAAAAATAAAGCATATAGTTGGTTCTCACATATGTACACACACTAAAACCATCACCTCAATGAAGCTAATGAGCACATCCATCACCCCCCAAATTTCCCTCTGCTTCC